AGGTGAAGTGATTCTAGCACCCGGTGAAGAACCTCGCTTTCCCACGTTAGCCAAACCTGGGCAGTCTGGATTTCTGGGCTCGCTTCCTTCCGCCCGCGCTGGATTCCCGCGGCCGCCTGGCGCTTTAAATCTGCGCTGTCAATCAGGGCTCCTTTCCAGAGGGAACGTCCGGTACTTTAGCCTCCCCAGTTGACTGCCCTGACCTCTGCCTGCGCCCGGGTGTTCCGTTTCTGTGGACGTGGGGAATTGGCCCACGCTCCCTTCCATAGGGCTGTCTCCACCCCTCCCATCCCCTCTCGCCTACTCCTCCCAATTTCGAAGTTAGGCCCCGTCGCCAAGTCCTTCCTTATATGGACACGGCTCCGAACGGCGGCCGCTCATTGGCCGAGGGCCGCACACGCGCGCGCCTGTCAACAAAGGGGCGGAGTGGAGTGAGTGGAGGGAAAGCGGGGAGGGGGCGGGCCGCTTCCCTGGCGCGCGCATGCGTGTGCTTGCCCCAGCCTGGGGGAGGCGCTGTGGGTGAGCGCAAGCTGCCGGGCAGGCGCCTCTAGATTTCTAGGGTCACCTGAAGGGGTCCTTTGGGGGGGAGGCACTGACTTTGCACTAAGTGATATTTGGAGGCTTGGGGAAGTTGTGGGGGCGAAGGGGGATGCTCTTCTGAGGTTCCCTTGCGTTTGAGGGACGCCCTGGGTTTGGGTCCTTTTGCAGTGAGTGATGATCGGCTGTGTTTTAGGAGCCTCAGCTTTGGGTGCTTGATGGGTACTGGATTGCAGCGCCAGGATTTCAGAGCTCCCACCTGTCTGACCCAGGAGTGGAAGACAATAGGAAATAGGCAGCTGCAGGTGCCTGCGTGTGCGTGTGTGTGCGCGTGCGTGTGTGTGTGTGTGTGTGTGTGTGTGTGTGTGTCCTGGGGCTTGAACACAGGCCTGGGCGTTTTCTCTGAACTTTACTCTTAGCTAGCGTTCAACCACTGGAGCTACAGCTCCAATTCTGGCTGGTCTTGTTGTTTTTGTTATTGAATTGGAGACTTAGCTGTCAACAGACTTTCCTGCTGGCTTCTAGCCCTGATTCTCTCATCTCAGTCTCCGGAGTAGCTAGAATGACAGTCATGAGCCCCCAGCGCCACCAGCGCAGGGTTCACCACTCCATTTTTTTTTTTTTTTTTGGTCCGGTGGTAGGGCCTGAACTCTGGGCCTGGGCGCTGTCCCTCAGCTCTTCAGCTCAAGGCTAGTGCACTACCACTTGAGCCACGGTGCCATGTCTGGCTTTTTCTGTGTATGTGGTACTAAGGAATCAAACCCAGGATTTTATGCATGCTAGGCAAGCACTCTACCACTAAACCACATTCCCAGCCCTCCATTGGTTTTTAAATACTGATTAACTTGATTGATCTGGAAACAGGAGTTATCTGCTTCCCTGAGGATTGGACATCAGCCTTGATTAGAACTGGGCCCAGTACACTCATGAGTATGCCATTATAACATCTGTGAGGTGTCTTTAGGGACTCTTTGGGCTTCGAGAAATAGTCATTTGGTTTGGAATCTGCCCTGAATTGTAGGAAGTTTTGTGTGTTCGAATGTTGTCTTATAGATGATGGAGGTCTATAGGATTAAAAGGCATAAAGGGAGTGCTGGTGGCTCACACCTATAATCCCAGGTACTCGGGAGGCTGAGATCTGATTATATAGTTCAAAGCCAGCCAGAAAAATTAACCACCAAAAAGCAGGGTTGGGGGCATGGCTCAAGTGGTAGTTTCTCCCCTGCACCCCCCTCCCCCTCAAAAAAAAAAGCCTAAGCAAGAGTGTGAGTTCAAGCTCCAATAGTGTCACCAAAAAAATGTATAAAGAGTGCTTGGAGTTAGTATAGAATGTTAGGAGTTCTTGGAGATTGGGCCATTTTGTGCTGGGGCTTAGTTTTAGGTTTGGGGTTTTAAGTGATTTGGAATGGTTTAGATATTTGGGGAAGAGTATTGAGATTCCAGATAGAAATTTAGGGGAAAATAAGGATTTTAGGACCCTGGCCAGGCTCAGTGACTCACAACTGTAATCCCAGCCACTTTGGAGGCAGAGATAGGGCTGGGCAAAATGTTAACTGCATCCTTACCTCAAAGAACAAGCTGGGCATGGAGGTGCCTCCCCTTAATCTTCTCACCTGTGTGGGAAGCATAGGTAGGAGGATCCTGCTCTGAGTAATATCCCAGGGGAAAAAATCCAGACCTTATGTGGAAAAACAAAAGGCAAAAAGAGCTGGGGAAGAGGCTGAAGTGGTAGGGTGCTTGCTAAGCAAGGCCCCGAGTTCAAACTCCAGTATCACCAAAACCCAAAACGGGACTGGTATCGATAGCTGGGAGTGTTCAGAGCTCTCAGATACTGAATGGCGTCTACACACCTTAAATTGAATATTGCAAGAGTACTGCAAGAGTAGGCAGATGGTTTTTTTTTTTTTTTAAAGACAGGGTCTCTCTGTGTACCCCTTGTTCCTGTTTAGCTTCAAACTCCCAAATTCAGGGCCTGGACACTGTCCCTGAGCCTCTTTGTGCTCAAGACTAGTGCTGTACCACTTGAGCCACAGTGCCATTTCCAGTTTTTGAGTGGTTTATTGGAGATAAGTCTCGGGGGGACTTTTCTGCCTGGGCTGGCTTTGAACCATGATCCTCACATCTCAGCCTCCTGAGTTGCTAGGATTATAGGCATGAGCCACCGGCACTCAGCCTTGCTTTCTGAGTGCCTGGGTTATAGGCATGTACCACTATGTGCAGCTGGAGAATTGTTTTCTGTTTTGGGGTATCTAGAAGGAGATGGGTCAGAGAACAATAAATAGGAGTCATAACTTAGTTCCTTGAAAGCAGGAAGTGGGCTGGGAAGGTGGCTCAGTGGTAGAGCGCTTGCCTTGCATACTGGAGGCCCTGGGTTCGATTCCTCAGCACCACATAAGAAAAAAGCCGGAAGTGGCGCTGTGGCTAAAGTGGTAGAGTGCTGGCCTTGAGCTGAAGAGCTGAGAGACAGCGCCCAGGCCCAGAGTTCAGTTGATCAATCATATCAGTGACATGACCCAGTTTATCTCCAGATTCTGTCATGCACATAAACTCCTCATTGCAAAATAAAATGGTCATTATTAAGAGAGTCCAGAAAGCAAGTGTCCAGACACCAAATTTAATAAGCGACTTTTGTTCTGGACAGTCTCTGCCCTTAGCTAAGTAACTCCTTTCCACTCTTGAGTCTTGGTGTCCTGTGTGCCAACTTGAGGAAGGAGCTGGGCTGGAACAGGCCCTCTTTCCCAGCGCTCTGTGGTTGGGTGTGTGGTTTTCCAAGTGATGGTACATGGCTTTAAGAGTGTTCAGTGGCTCACATCTGTAATCTTAGCTACTTAGGAGGCCAAGATCCGAGGATTGCAGTTCAAAGGCAGCTAGGGCAAAAAAGTCCACAAGACTCTTTATCTCCAGTTAACTACCAGAAGACCCAGGAAGTGGCATTGTAACTCAAAGCTTTGAGCAAAAGAGCCCTAATCCAGTAATCATTGCTGCTTAGGAGGCAGTGATCAGGAAATGAAGCCTGAGGCCAGCCTAGGCATAAAAGCTCTAGAAGCTCCCACCTTTACCAGTGGCTGTGTAAGGTGACACGTGGCTGTCATCCCTGCAACAAAGAAAAGCCCAAATGTGAGGATCACAGTCGAGGCTGGCCCAGGTATAAAGCAAAACTCTCTCAAAATGACAGAGATGAACTGGCAGGTCCCAGGCTGGACTTCAACTCTGGATCTTCTTGCCTCAGCTTCCTACATGCAGGGATTACAGGTGTTCACTGCCAGGCCTGGTCTAACAGCCAGCTTCTTAAAGACCTGTCTGGCTCTGGCGTTGGGTTTTTTTTCTCCCCCCTACTTAGTGGGCCTTGCTCCTCCCTCCCGGGGCTCAAGTAGCCAGACTTGTGGGCAGGGCTGGGAATTCCTGTCTTTTCAGAAGCTGGCTATTGGGTGAGCAAAGAGGAAAAAAAAAATCTGAAGAGCTTGTCCATACACTGGACTTTCATTTAAGTTTGAAGGTCAGATTGTAGGAAACCTCTGACTGTGAGCCCATGGTTGGCCAGTGTTGAGGGACATGCTCTGTTCAAAGACCATCCACTTGGCATTGCTTATTTACCTCAGATGTAAGGTGGCAATAGAGTTTTCTATCTCTCTATATCTATCTATCTATCTTTCTATCTTGTGCAGGTGTTGGAGCTTGAAGTCAGGGTCGTGACCTCTCCTTTGGCTTTTTCCATCAAGGTTGGCACTCTGCCACATAAGCCACAGTTCCACTTTTGGCTTTTTGCTTATTAGTTGGAGGTAAGAGTCTCTTGGATTTGTGTGTTCAGGCTGGCTTTGAACCTTGATCCTCAGCTGTCAACCCCCCCTGAGTAGCAAGGATTATAGGTGTGAGCCTTGAGTACCCAGAGTTCTTTTTCTTTCTTTCCCTTTTGTTTTTCATGTTGTGCTGAGGATTGAACCCAGGACCTTGAACTTGCTAGCTGAATACCCTTCTACCACTTTAACTATGCCCCTAATCTTCTGTTTTTGAGATCGGGTCTTACTAGCTCCATGCAGACTGGCCTCAGACTTTAGATCCACCTGCCTCTGCCTCCTAAGTGTGGTTATAGGAGTATACTACTACACCAGGCTGAGATGGGCTTTCTTCGTGTGTCAGTTGTGGGGCTTGAACTCAGGGCCTAGGTGCTGTCCCTAAGCTCTTCTGCTCAAGGCTCTACCACTTTGAGCCATAGCTCTACTTCCCATTTTCTGGTGGTTCATTGGAAATAAGAGTCTCAGGGGGACTTTCTTGCCTGGGCTGGCTTCCAACCACATTCCTCAGATCTCAGCCTCCTGAGTAGCTAGGATGACAGGCGTGAGCCACCAGTGCCTGGTTCAAATCAGTGTTCTTGAAGCTCTAATTTGGTCTAGGGGTTCCCTTTGCTGGTCCAGGGAGGTAACACTATTCTCTCAGCTCCTCATCTATTTCTTTCCTGTCTGCAGGTCCCATTTCCATCCTGGTCCAGAGGTGCCGTGACCCCCCTGCCTGTTAGCCATCTTCCCCCAGAATGGACCGCAGTGGCCTCTTACCCTTCCAGCTCTGGTGTCCCCGGCCATTTGGCACCTACTCTCAGAACCAGCCACGGCCACCTTCCGGGGGCCTCAAGCCAGCTACCTGCCCAGAGCCTGGCAGCGTCCCCGAGCCCGACCTTGGGCCTGCCCACTCAGAGAACACCCCGCCCGCCTTGGCCTCGGAGGCTCCCGCTTCCCAGCATGCTCCGCTCCTCTCCGCAGCCGCAGCTGGTGACGAGGGTCGGGTCCTGCTGGACACGTGGTACGTCATCAAGCCTGGCAACACGAAGGAGAAAGTGGCTTTCTTTGTGGCCCATCAGTGTGGAGGAGGCAGCCGGGCCAGCTCCATGAAGGTCAAAGGGCACTGGGGCAGCGACAGCTCCAAGGCCAAGCGGAGGAGGCGCTGTCTTGAACCCACCAAGGCTCCTCCAGATCCAGGGGGCCAGGAGGGCTCCCCAGCTGCCGAGGGGGGCCCAGGCTCAGCTGGGGACGATGTAGACCTGCTCTCGGTGGCCGAGATGGTGGCCTTGGTAGAACAGAGGGCTGCCCTGGCCCTGCAGACATACCCACGGCCCACTGCCCCGGCCCCCGTGGTTTTTGTGTCAGCCGAGCAGGGGGGGCCCCCCAAGGGGTTGGGGTCCGAGCGGCGGTCTGGTGGTGGCGGCGGTGACTGTAGTCGTGTGGCTGAGGCGGTGGCTCACTTTGAAGCCCAGAGGGACAGTCCTCCCACCAAGGGCCTCCGCAAGGAGGAGCGGCCCGGGCCGGGGCCTGGGGAAGTGCGGATTGCCTTCCGGATCTCCAATGGCCGCGAGTCCCGGGCAGCCGATGGCAGCTTGACCAGCGCGGGCGGGGGCCGGCCTGGTTGTACCTATCCTGGTAGCCCAGGCCCTGGGGCTCGAGCCAAGGACAAGATCACCTGTGATTTGTACCAGCTCATCAGCCCCTCTAGGGACGCCCTGCCCAGCAACGTGGAGTTCCTGCTGGCCAGGGCGGACGAAGCTAGCGAGGGGGAGACCCCGGCTCCTTCCAGGCCAGACGACACCCCCCCAACACCCCCTCCTCCACCAGCCCGGGACTGCGGCGCATCAGGCTTCCATGTGGACGTGGTGGTGACAGGCGTGGTGGACGAGTGCATCTTCTTTGGCAAGGATGGCACGAAAAACGTGAAGGAAGAGACGGTGTGCCTGACCGTGAGCCCCGAGGAGCCACCCCCACCGGGCCAGCTCTTCTTCCTCCAGTCGCGGGGGCCCGATGGGCCCCCCGAGCCACCCCCAACAGACACCTCGAGCGCGGTGACAGGCCCCGACGACACGGAGGGGCCCGCTGACACATCCCTGTGCCGCCTGTACCGTCACGTGTCCCACGATTTCCTGGAGATCCGCTTCAAGATCCAGCGCCTGCTGGAGCCCCGGCAGTACATGCTGCTGCTGCCCGAGCACGTCCTGGTCAAGATCTTCAGCTTCCTGCCCACCCGGGCCCTGGCCGCCCTCAAATGTACCTGCCACCATTTCAAGGGCATCATCGAGGCGTTCGGCGTGCGCGCCACGGACTCCCTGTGGAGCCGGGACCCGCTCTACCGCGACGACCCCTGCAAGCAATGCCGCAAGAGGTACGAGAAGGGCGACGTGTCGCTCTGCCGCTGGCACCCCAAGCCCTACCACCACGACCTGCCTTACGGACGTTCCTACTGGATGTGCTGCCGCCGAGCTGACCGCGAGACACCCGGCTGCCGCCTGGGCCTGCACGACAATAACTGGGTCCTGCCCTGCCACGGGCCCGGCGCGGGCCGGGTGGGGCGGGAGGAGGGGAGGTGAAGCTGGGGGAGGGCGGGGGTGCCCGCCATACCCACCTCTTCCCCCTCTGGCCAAGAAGCTGAGGAGACGGGGGGGCTGAGCCACCAGCCAACACCCCTCTCCCCCCAAAGTCCAGGCAATGTTGATTCCTCCATACACACATACCCCACCAGCACAGAACTGAAATCAGGTTTGGGGGTGAACCGAGAAAAACCTTGTGGGGTTTTCTACTCTTCAGAGCAACGGACTCTGACATAGGGCGAGTTCTTTTTTTTTTTTTTTTAAATCAGCATCTCAAAACTATGGAGCCGCCCCCCTCCCCATGCTATGCCCCAGGGAACCCCACTTACCCACCCACCAGCCGGGAACAGATGGCAGCTAATTTTGGTACCACCCCCAGGCTTCCCCAGGGCTGGCCCTGCTCCTTCCCAGGCCTCCCTCATCTTTTTTCTGAGGCTGTGTCCTCCCCAGAGAGCTGGCCCCTCTGAACACCCCGCCACCCCACAGCTGGGGGGGGGCCACCAGATCATAAGTTGAATTTGGTACTTTTTCATGGCCGTTTCTAGATGGTTTTCTCCATTAATAGAAAAAATGTTAATCCATTTTTCCCTTATCTTCTAATTTACTAGTCTCTCCTTCCCCTATAGGGGGGAAAGGAATAAAACCCCAGAATCTAGAAATTTGTTTCTGTGGTTTTAAGCTGTTGCTCTCTGCTTTGTCCCCTCCCCACCCCCCATAATGCTGTGAAACCTTCCCCTGGCTCTTACACGCGCGCGGTGTGGTGGGGGGGGCAGAGCACCAGGACTATGGGTCTGAATTTCTAGGTGGTTTTTCCCTCTCCCACTCCAGGTACTTCTTGAGGTGTTGGGGATCTGTGACCCCAGCCCCATTTCTTTAGAAATCTTTCAGTCAACTGGGATCTAGGTCTTCAGGCCATTTGGTCTGGGCTATTGTTTTGTTCATTCTGTTAATGTTTTTTTTTTTTAATTTTCCTTTTGGTTTCTCATTGTTGTTCTGGAAGCTTCTAGCACGTGGCATCTGACCGATTTTGAATTGGTCCTTTCTATAAAGTCAATATTTATAAGGCTGGGTCCAGACTGGTCTTTATGTTGTTAAAGGGTTCAGGAGGAAGAGAGCTGTGGGCCCAAGTGCCAGGCAGTGGAAAAGATGGGGTGGGGTGGGGTACAAGTCCCTATACTTGGGTTATTTGTGACTCATTTGGATTTTTTTTTTTTTGTCGGTAGTGGGTCTTGAACTCTGGGCCTGGGTGCTGTCCCTCAGTTCTTCAGCTCAAGGCTAGCGCTCTACTACTTGAGCCACAGCACCACTTCTGGTTTTCTGGTGGTTTATTGGAGATAAGAGTCTTACAGGGTTTCCTGCCCGGGCTGTTTTGGAACTGCGATCCTCAGATCTCAGCCTCCTGAGTAGCTAGGATTACCAGCATGAGCTACCAGCACCCCGGCTTGGTTTGGATCTTAAAATCACAAAATAGTACCGACTTCAAGATTTTTTATTATTTATTTATTTATATATGCCAGTCCTGGGGCTTGAATTCAGAGTCTAGGTGCTGTCCCTGAGCTTCTTTTGCTCAAGGCTAGCACTCTACCACTTGAGTCATAGCACCACTTCTGGCTTTTTCTGTTTGTGTGGTACTGAGGAATCGAACCCAGGGCTTCATGCTTCACCCAGGCAAACACTCTACCACTAAGCCACCTTCCCAGCTCTATAAGATTTTTATTTCTTTATTAAAAAAAAAAATCTGGGCTGGCTTCAAATTGCAATCCTCAGATCTCAGCCTCCTGAGTAGCTAGGATTACAGGCATGAGCCATTGGTACTCAGCTATTATTGCTCTTTAAAGAATCATGGATAAAACTCAGTAGCCTAGCTGGGCACTAGTGGCTCATGCCTGTAATCTAGGTATTAAGGGGGGCTGAGATCTGAGGATCACAGTTCAAAGCCAGCCTGGGCCGGAAGGTCCCTATGAGGCTCTTATCTCCAATTAACCACCAGGAAACTAGAAGTAGCACTGTGGCTCAAAGTGGTAGAAAGCTAGCCTTGAGCAAAAAGAGCTCAAGGACAGAACCCAAGCCCTGATTTCAAGGCCCAGGACTGACAACAAAACAACGAAAAGCCTCAGTGGCCAAGTTAAACAGTAAATTTAACACAACTGATGAAAAGTTTATTGAATTAAAGGTGGTGAGAAAAATAAGAGTACACACACACACATACATACACACACACACACAAACCCTGAGAAAACATGAAAGGTTATGGAGATAGAGTAAGATCTGATGTACATTCCAGGATGGGGGAAGGGGAAGAATTAGGCAAGATTAATAATGCTTAAAGACATGGCAGAGGGCTGGGAAGTTGGCTCAGTGGTAGAGCGTTTGCCTTGCATGCCTGAGGCCCTGGGTTCCATTCCTCAGCACCACATAAGCAAGAAGAAAAAAAGCCCAAAGTGGTGCTGTGGCTCAAGTGGTAGAGCGGTAGTCTTGAGGTGAAGAGCTGAGGGACAGCACCCAGGCCCAGAGTTCAGGCCCCATGACCGGACCAAAAAAAAAACATGGCAGAGTTGCTGCTGGGAGCCATGGCTCAAATGGTAGAACACCTGCCAAGCAAATATGAGGCCCTGAGTTCAAAACCCCAATACTAGAAGAAAAAAAAAAAAAGCAGTCCTATACACCATGCTATGAAAGCCCAGTGATGTGGTTTTTGGGAATTGGTTTCTCTTTTTCATTTTCTGAGTCTTAACAATTATTCAAGCCGGGCACTGGTGGCTCTTGTTTATAATCCTAGCTACTCTGGAGGCTGAGATCTGAGGATCAAAGTTTGAAGCCAGCCCCGGCAGAAAGGTCTGTGACACTCTTCTCCCATTAAGCAGCAAAAAGCTAAGTAAAATGCTACCACCTAGCTGCACCCCCAGCCTGCCTTCCTCTCTTCTGGGGTGTTTTAGACAGCCGAGCACGTACCAACCTGTGGCCTTTAAGATACCGTGTCCCAAACTCATGATCAAGATTCTCTCATGTGGGCTGGGAAGGTGGCTCAGTGGTAGAGCGTTTGCCTTGCATGCCTGAGGCCCTGGGTTCAATTCCTCAGCGCCACATAAGCAAGAAGAAAAGAGCCGGAGTTGGCGCTGTGGCTCAAGTGGTAGAGCGCTTGCCTTGAGCTGAAGAGCTGAGGGACAGCGCCCAGGCCCAGAGTTCAGGCCCCACGACCGGACAAAAAAAAAAAAAAAGATTCTCTCATGTATTCAGCCCCTCCCTGAAGTCCTGCTTCAGTAGGTCTGCAGTTGGGACTTAGGAGTCCAAGCGTGGTTGTGCAAGCCTTAATCCCAGCTCCTTGAGAGACAAGAGGCAGGATGGTCAGATCCACGCAAACCTAGCAGCTAGACCCTGTCTTAAAAAACAAAATTAAAAGAACCTGTGATACAGCACTTGCCAGACTGAGTTCCACTCCCACTTCCTCACAAAAAAAAAAAAAAAAAGGATGGTTTGATGAAGGAAGAAATGGAGCTTCATCTGATGTATTCTGACTAAACTTGCTGAACATGGAGCTTCCTCAAAGTATCCTCTCAGGTACCCTTGTTCTGTGATTGTGCTTCCCAGTTCAAAGGGTTCCCTATTGAAGTGCATTGGGAACTACTACAGTCTCTTGCCTGACTGGAAATTTGCCTTGTGTCACCAGGATGCATTTAACGTCTTGCACTAGAACTTTGATCTTTGATCCCTCATTCAAGCAGTGGCGTACTGGATCAGAGAAAACCTGTCTTCTAGAAGCTGGCCTTTCATTTCTGTTCCTGATTCTGCAGTAGCAAAACTGTCATTGTATAGATTGGGCAGAGAGGACAGCATAAGCTGAAAGAATTCATTTGGGTGGGTTGGTTGCTAGCTCAACCACAAGAAGCCAAACCAGCCCTTGCTGGCTAAAAGCTCAGCATCTGGTCCATGGAAACCTCCAGTATAGCTGTGGACCCAAGAGCAGGGGCCAAACTCGTAGTCTTCATCTCACCACCCGCTTCAGTATCCATTCTGTGGTCCCTCTTGTGTCCTTGAAGTGGCCTTGACCCAAGTAGGAGCTGACGGGATAGGTGAGGATGAAGCCACTCCTGAGGTAGATCTGGACTTGTCCACTGGGGGGTGCTTCTGGAGGAAGGTCTCCTCTGGTACTGTCCCCTCCAGCCTAGAGCCCCAGATACTCAGCCAGGAACACAGCCAGGATGCGGCTGAGATTGTGCACGGTGGGTGGATGGAGATTGGCCTCGGTGTCTGCAGGAGTATGCCAGACAGTAGGAAAGGGCGTGGCGATGAGGTGGACCACCGGGACCCCTGAAGGGAAGAGAGATGACGGTCAGGCCTGTCCCAGTCCACAGCTCACCCAGAGATAACCCCATTTTACAGATGGACAGATCAAGACCCGGAAGTTAAGCAGCTTGCCTCTAGTCCTGGTCCTGGAAAGTGGTCAGGGCCAGGAAGTATGGCTTCCTTGTTTTGTTGGATTTTTTTTTTTTCTTGTATCAGTAGTGGGGCTTGAACTCAAGGCCTAGATGCTGTCCCTGAGCTTTTTGTGCCCAAGGCTAGCACTCTACCACTTGAGCCACAGCCCCACTTGCAACTTTTTGGTGGTTCACTATAGATAAGTCTTGTGGACTTTATTGCCTGGGCTGGCTTTGAACCATGATCCTCAGCTCTGAACCTCCTGAGCAGCTAGGATAGCAGGCCTGAGCCCTGGGTGTAGTTTGCTGAACCCTGTACCCCATCCCTCCCTGTACTGGGCACATACCTCTGCGGAGGAAGGGGATGTGGTCATCTTCCACAGAGCCAGGGGGCTCCCCAGGTTGGAAATACATCACCTCTTGGGGGTGAGACTGCAGGAGGTTCAGCCGGTGCAGGCGTTTCTCTGAAGGTGTTGCAGTCAGAGAACAAGGATCAGTCCTCAGCATTGGAGGGAGCCAAAGCTCCCAGAGACAATGCACTGCTCACGCCAACGCAAACCAGTTGTATATATTTTTATGCCAATACTAGGGCTTCAAATCAGTCCCGTGCTCTCACATTGCTTGGCTTGCCTGCTCAGAGCAGGCGCTCTACCACTTAATCATGCCTGCAACCCAGCTTTTTTGCTATTTAATTGGCGATGAAGTTCTTGAAGACTTTTCCACCTGGGACTGGCTTTCAAGCCTCAAGCCTCTGATCTCAAGCTCTTCAATAGCTAGGATTACAAGCATGAGCCACTGGTGACCTTAAATTGATCATCACCTCTGGAGTAGCTGGGATTACAGGTGTGAGCCACCACACCCAGCACATTTTTTTGGGGGGGTCTGGTCGTGGGGCCTGAACTCTGGGCCTGGGCGCTGTCCCTCAACTCTTCAGCTCAAGGCTAGTGCTCTACCACTTGAGCCACAGCGCCACTTCCAGCTTTTTTTTTTCTGCTTATGTGGTGCTGAGGAATGGAACCCAGGGCCTCATGCATGCGAGGCAAACATTCTACCACTGAGCCAACTTCCTAGCCCCCCAGCGCATTTGTTTTTGAGACCAGTCTCTCCCTCTGTCACCCAAACTTGGTCTAGAATTCACTATGTAGCCTAGACTGGCCTTGAGCTTGTAATCCTGCTTTGGCCTCTGGAGTGCTGAGATTACAGGCGTGTACCGCCACACCTGGCTCATAAAGTACCTTTATTAGTGTTGGCATCATGACCATTTTACAGTGAAATGAGCAACTTGCTTGAAATCCCGCTGCTGCTCAGAGGCAGACCCAGGATTTGAAACCAGGACTGGCTCTTGCCAGAGCCCCGTTCTATAATCCCTACACATCTCATCCATGGGATGTTTGTGACTGCCCTGGTTCCTTACAGAGACCAGGATGGTAAGGAAGTTTGGGTGCTGGGGGGGGTTCCCCACTTACCAATGCTCCTTAGTCGCTGGAACCAGCGGATGGTTCGGGGGAAATGGCTGTAGAAGGTGGGGTTTGGGGCTCCCAGGAGATCAAGAAGCACAAAGAGCTCCTAGGAGGAGAGAGAGGGGAAGGGGGGGCCAGGACTGGAAGGGGCCGTAGGATTCTGGTAACTCGGCCTTAACCTTCTCCCTCCCTTCCCAGAGGCCAGTGTGGGTCCCCCAGTCTTACGATAGCTTGGATCCTCGTGGGGCCGGGGCTGTGGGGCATGGACTCCATGAGCTGGGCCAGGTGCCGGGACCCATAAAGGGAATCCCTGGGTCCCCACTCTTTCAGCGCCTCTTCCCCATCCAAGAAGAGGAACTGCAGGGTTACTGGAGCTGCCTGGAGGACAGAAGGCAGGGCCGGCTCAGTGTGGCCCTCAGTTCTCCAGGCCTGCCCGCCTGCACAGCCAGGTCGGGCAAGTCAGGTGTCCTTGCTCATACACTGTGACCTGTAGAGTATACAGCCAGGTATTTTTTTTGGGGGGGGGAGGGGAGAGGGGGGCAGTCCTGGGGTTTGAACTCAGGGCCTGGGCACTGTCCCTGAGCTTCTTTTGCTCAAGGCTAACACTCTACCACTTGAGCCACAGCAACACTACTGGCTTATGCTGTGTATGTGGTACTAAAGAATCAAACCCAGGGCTTCATGCATGCTAGATAAGCACTCTACCACTAAGCCAAATTCCCAGCCTCCATGAGACTCTTATCTCCCATGAACCACCAGAAGACCAGAAGTGGCACCGTGGCTCAAAAGTAGTAGAGTAACAGCTTTGAGCAAAAGAATCTGAGAGACAGCACCCAGGGCCCTGAGTTCTAGCTCCATGACTAACAAAAATAAAAATGTAAATAACTAAAGTAGTCCACGTGCTGTGTAAAGAGCAAGTGCAAGTGCCCTGGAGTAGGTTTGAGAGACTTGGGGATATGGGTATGGCTGGGACAGAGTCAGGGATGGGAGCACACCTAATATGTAACATAATATGTAACAAAAGGACATTATTTTAGGCCTAAGATGCTGTAGCGGGGTATGGTAAGGATTGGGGAAAGGCAGGACAGGATCTGACATTCAGGGGTTAGAAAGACTTCCATGGCTCAAGGGAATAAAATGTGTCAGAATGAGAAACACAACAAAGGCAGAGGAGAGCAGGGACTTGGCTCAGGGTGGAGATGATCTCTCCCTCTCCCCCCACCCTGGCCTCACCTGCTGCTTGGCCTTGCTCAGCATCAGATCTAGGGCCTGGGCCAGCTCCAGTAGCAGGGCACAGGGCACAGCGGAATCTGTGGCCCCCACAAAGGCGGCAGACCCGGGAGGGAAGAGCTTCGAGTCATAATGGCAGGCCAGGGTGAGGTGACGGGCAGCTCCTGGGTCCAGGGTGGCCACCACGTTTCCAAAGTCTAATGGCCCCAGGGGTGTCGAGGCCGTAAAGGGATCCAGCTCCACATGCCAACCTGCTGTCAGGGCCCGCAGCGTGGCCTCCAGGAACTAGTGGGGAGAGAGAGATGGGAGGGTGGACAGGGACTGGGGAAGTGGGGGGAAGGGTCACGTGACCTGAGCCATATGGAAAAGTCAGGTTGACCTGAAAGTCCTACTTCAGTGTAAATTACTGCTTTGACATGGATTCCTCCTGAGCTCCAGCTGTTGGGGTGACCCCACCTCTTAATGTCAACAAGATATCACAGCTTACTCTTAGCCCCGTGTGTGTGTGTGTGTGTGTGTGTGTGTGTGTGTGTGTGTGTGTGTGTGTGTGTGTGTGTGTGCGCGCGTGCGTGCATGCATGCTCGCTCACATGTGCACGAGTAAACATGCATGCACACATGTGCCCCAGTACTGGGGCTTGAACTCAGGGCCTGGGCACTGTCCCTTAGCTTTTTCACTCAAAGTTGGCACTCTACCATTTATCATGCTTCCACTTCTGACTTTTTACTGGTTCACTGGAGATAAAGAGTCTCACCAGGCTGAGAATGTGGCTGAGTGATAGTGTTTGCCTCGCATGCATAAAGCCTTGGGTTCAATTCCTCAGTACCACATAAATGGAAAAAGCCAGAGGTAGCGCTGTGGCTCCAGTGGTAGAATGCTAGCCGTGAGCAAAAGAAGCTCAGGGACAGTGCCCAGGCTCTGAGTTCAAGCCCCCAGACTGCAAAAAAAAAAAAAAAGTCTCAGCAGCTTTCCTGCCCAGGCTGGTTTCAAACTGTAATCCTCAGATCTCAGCCTCCTGAATAGCTAGGATGACAGGCAGGAGCCACCAATGTTCAGGTTTAAAGAGCTTTTACTTGTGCTACAGGATGATCTAGGGACCCTGTGGGTGGGTAAAGCTCATGAACCAATCCCATGATCCAAACTGAGGCCTGAGGAGGTTAACCAGTTTTTCCATTTGCATAATGAAGATCATATTGGTTCTCACCTCAAGGGGCCGCTGGTGACTTGTGCTTAACTCAGTAAACCTTTGAGGGAAGGAAATGCAGCGTCGGGGGGGTGTCTATACCATCATGGATCTCTAGGGTCATCACAGAATTCTCTGCCTCTTAGGTGTTAGATCGCACCCTGGAGGGTCAGGGATTGAATGTTGGACCCTTTTACCTTCCTCACTTGGAGATTGCCTGGGCTACCCGGGGTGCGCACAATCAGCAGGGGGCGCAGGAACGTCCCCCAGAGTCGCTGTGGGTCCAGCTGCCCCACCACCATCCGCAGCTTGGCTTCCGGGAGGCTTCCAATCAGCGGGGCCTGGGGGTGGGAAGTGGAGATGAAGATGAAGATGAGAAAGATGAGAGCAGTCCCGCATTCAGGCTAAACCCCAAGGCCTTGCTGCCCACAGAGAAGCTGGCGACCTCCTCTAGGCATAAGCGATGCTTAGCATAAATCAGGAAAAAGTCCCTCTTTAGTCCCATCGGGTCGGTCCAGCCCACTTCAGTCTTGAAGGAAAAATAAATCCAAGGAGAGAGAGAGAGAGAGAGAGAGATTGATTGATTTTCTTCCAAATACTCGAAGCATAGGTAGAAACCCGCTTTCCCAATCTTGCTATATTCCAGACTCTTCCTCTTAAGGGGGAGGAGCAGGAAAATGACGACTACAAAATTAAGATTTTTTTAAAGCTCCCAAAGCCTTAGTCTGTGGATAAGAGGCATGCGCTCCATGGACGGAAAAAGGAGATGGCACCTGCGGCTGGGGCCATCCGATACAGCCACGTCAACCCGAGACTTCGGGGGACGGGGCAGGAGGGAACCGGGGTTCCCTTCACCTTCCCCCCGCCGTCCTCCCCCCCCCACCCCCGCCCGCCCAACCTCACCCGGTGCTCCCGGCCCCGCGCCAGCTCCTCGTTCCATCGGCGCCAGCCGCCCCAGATAATGAGCAACGCGGTGCCCACCGCCAGCGCCAGCAGCAGCAGGGGCAAGGGCTGCACGCGGGGGAGCAGGCGGCGCTTGCGGGGTGAAGGTGGCTCCATGAGACCCCGGTCCCCAAGCCGGAGCCGGGGCCGCCCGCGGCCCCCCGAACGCATGACAGCGTGGCCCGCAAGCCGGTGGGAGACCGCGGAGCTAGTTCAGGCCCAGCCAAGTTCCACCCCTCAAGCAGCGAAACCAATGGGAGCGCGCATCCTGAGGACACGCCTACCGACCTCCCCGGGGATGTTGGGGTTGGTCACCTCCCCCTTTCCCCCGAGGGTTGCACAACCCAAAAGGGAGAGCCTGGGCCGTGGAGGGTCCGCCTCCGCGGAGCGGGAAAGCCAATGGTTAGCTTCTAGTCGTGGAAAACATTGGATCTCCCGCGCTCAGAACCATGCCCCTCCCGGATGTGGGCTCGGGATTGGTCGAAAAAATCAATTGACAAACCCACGGACCATCCAGGAACCGAAAGGGGCGGTACCAATCGCTGAAGCAAAGAGAGGATTGGCTTCGTCGAGACCGCGCCTCCTAGGACAAGGCCGGCGGGCATTTGGAAATGAGTACTTCCCGCTTTCGACTTACATCATTTACCGCAATCTAAATAAAACCGCCTTTCTTTTCCTCTCTACGCTCGTGAACATCTTCCCAGTAGGGCCCAGCATGAGCCGTTTGACTCAAAAGCTGTTAATAACCGCCCCCATCACTGCACAGCGGGCTGGGCGTCGCTATGGAAACAGGCCACGCCCCCACCCACTGGTTGGATTTGCGCGTGCGTTCACGGAAGTACGCCACCGGAAGCGGAAGTCACGCCCTCCTCTCGGGTCTGAGGCTGAGGCAACGCGGAGACGCCAGTGACTAGCGGGAGCCGCCGCCACCATGTGAGTCCGGGGCTGGGCCTAGGCAGTGGGAGTGGGGTTGAGGGTGCAAATTTAGCCGGTTAAGGATGGAAGGATCTGAGCTGTGGCGGCGGGTGGAAATCCTAGGCCTCAAGTGGAGTTCTTTTCTCCTGATGAGAACGGGCCTGGGCCTTTGACTGATGACCGATCATGAGTTCGACACCCGGGACTGTTGTACCCCGTCACGGGCTTGCGGCTCTCTCAGATACTCCGTTTTGTTGAGAGAAAAACTAAGGGAAAACTGTTTTGTGAATAATGAATCTGGGGAGAGTAGTATGGACCAGTAGAAACAATGATTTAAGCCGGGGGCTCGTGCTCACACGTGTAATCTTAGCTGCTCTGGAGGCTGAGATCTGAGATTCGCGATTCAAATCCAACCTGGGGAGGAGAAAGCAAGCGTCATTTTAAGCTATGGAAAGAATATTTGTTGGGTTTTTTTTGTTGTTGTTTTTTGGGTACGGTCATGGGGCCTGAACTCTGGGCCTGGGTGCTGTCCCTCAGCTCTTCAGCTCAAGGCTAGCACTCTACCACTTGAGCCACAGCGCCACTTCCG